AAATTTCATACATATTTTCGGTACATTTCTTAGGACTAAGAAATTAACTTCAGTATAACACTGCTAATGAAAATACTGATTTTTAACCTGGATTTCACCAGTTTCTCCACAACTGCCATATTTCTGTTCCTGGATCCAATTTAGGAAGCCACGTTGCATTTAGTTGATACATCTCCTTAGTCTCTGATCTGCGACTATTTCTTAGTCTTTGCCTTTTTTTTTTTTTTATGACTATAGCAATTTTGAAGAGTGTAGGTCAGATATGTTGTAGAATACCCTCATTTGGTTTTGTATAATGTTTTCTTATACTTAGACTAGAGAATAATGACCAGTGAAGAGTCTTTCCTGTTGCATCATAACAAAGTCTGTATGACATCAACACAACTCACCACTGGTGATGTTAAATCTGATCAATCAGTTAAAGTGATTTTTGTCAGTGTTCTCCACTGTAAATTTACTATTTTTCCGTTTTCCTACTCAGTTCTTTGGAAGTAAGTCACTATGTCCAGGAGACAGGAATTAACCCCTACTTCCTGGAGGGGAGTTATCTAACTATCTAATTATATATATTTGAAATTCATATAGATTCATGGATATTTACTTTGTTCTTTGGATTATAATCCAATAGTACATTATTTATTTTGTTCTCCAAATAATTCCAGTTTTGGTCCTTAAGAGCTCCCAGGTTGAATTATATGCATTTTTGACTATGACTCCATCTTCTTTTTAAAAATCAAGTTTTTACTCTCTGACACTATAAGATGTTTCAGAATCATTCTGATATTTTCTTGGTCTGACTCTAAAATGAATCATTTCTCCAAGGAACCCTAGTTCTTATTGCCAGAAAACACTATTCAGAAATAAGATCTGGGTGCTGGATATGTTCATTGATACTAGGGTATCACTGTTTCTAGGTTCTGAAGCTGCCTCAGCCCATCCAGCCAACCTAGTAGTTTTTAAGCTTTAGCAAGCACCCTTACCCGGCATCATTGATTAACCATGTTAATCAATTTACAAACCCTGCTTGTATATCTACAGATCATGCATTCTTTCCTAGAAAGAAAAAACACCTCTGTATGTCAAGAAACAGAAACCGGACCCCCTTGCACAACCTCTATAATCAAGGGCATGTAATCAAGAAATGTTAGGGACCACTGCAATCCCCCTTATTAATTGCCCTACACTCTTTTTAAAACCCCTGGGCCAGGCAGAAACCTTGGAGTTGACCTTTGGACAAGAGCCCACCTTCTCCCCAAGTGGCTGGCCTCCTGAATAAAGGTCGTATTCCTTTCCAATCAAACTCTTGAGTATTGGCTTTTTGAGTGACAGGCAGCTGAACTTGGATTTTGGTTAACACTCTTAGTGGAAAGGGATGGGAAATATGCTGTGTATTCAAACTCTTGTGTGTATCTCCATATCTAATCATTTCTATATTCATCTATCTTAATATATAATAGAAACATGAATTAATACTGTTATTTCCAACTCTAATCTAGCAACACAAGTTTCATTATAGCCTTCCTATTTTGCCTATTTGCATCTTATTTCTGTGACAGTGGGAAACATGACCCCATTATCTACCGTTTATTTACTTATTTGACCAGCTATCGTAAGTTTAAGGTGAAAAGAAATGTGTAAAACATTGTACTTTAGTTGCTAAATGTTTAACAAGACTGTGTTTGCGACTCTGAAACGCTGTCGCATGCATACCGGAAACCGGGATTGATTAATAATAAGCTGTAACACAAATTTGGTTGTACTCAAACACTTTTCCTTGGCTGATCTGCTTACGATTAATACAGATCGATTAATAAAGATCGCGCTGCCCAGAGCCAGCTGCTCGCGGGGCCTGCGCTCCTCCGCGCCCCGCCCCGCTTCCTCCCAGTTGAGGGGCGGCCAAAGGGAGCCTGAGCCCACGGCAAGCCCGAGAGCGCGTGCTCTGGGTGCCCCTTGTGCCGGAGCGCGGGGGCAGCTTCACCCTTACCTTGTGTCCGGAGTCTCCGAAGGCCCGGCCGGCAGAGGGGCGGCTGGAGGCCCCATGCAGGTCCTGTGCGAAGGCTCCCGAGCTTCGGCAGATGCTGAGCCCCAAGGCTGAGGGGCGCGCAGAGGACGAGGGCCGCTGGAGAACCGGCAGCCCGAGAGCCCTAAGCGCCATCAAGGCCCAGGCGACAGCATGGAGGCGGCAACAGGAGAGGAGCGGGTCCCGTGCGCGCGTGCGGCCTCCACCAGGCCGATACCTTGGACTGCAGGAACCTGAGAGATGGCTCGAAACGCATTCTGGAAAGTACCGGCGCCCATGACCAGAAGCGCCGTGGAGTCCCTGCCGCGACCCACGGCAGCCCTGAGCTAGGCCGCCTACCAGCTGCGTGCGGCCTGGCCCCTGACACACTCGACAGGGACAAAGGTTCGGCCATCTTCCACTCGGTCAGCCCGGGGACACACGGCCTGCTGGGCTGCACACACTGCCCACCTGCGGCGCGGCGGGGCGCGGGCGGGCTGAGGCGGGGCGAGGCGGGCTGAAAGGCATCATGGAGAGCATGCGCCAAGAGAAGCGGCTGTCGCCTCTGGGAGGTCTTCAGGGCAAAGGAGCAGCTCGGTGTCCCCGGGCAGGGGAGAGGGTCCGGCAGAGGACGACACCAGGGACAGCCAGGCGGGAAAGTTCACGTCCAAGATCCTGGGAACATTCAGAGGCAAGAAGTAAGTCTCCTGGCCCACCAGTTCAGGCAGGGGGTGCCCGCATCCCTGCTACCCATCAGCCAGAGCACCTGGTCCCCAGGTCACAGCAGTCTGGAACCCAGCTGAGCACAGGCACAGCTTGGCTCCTCTTGGGACTCACTGTGGTTGCTCTGCCTCTTGCCCCTTCGCCTTTCCATCCTTGGGGCCCCAGCTTCTCAGTGCCCCATGCCTTACCCCCGCCACCCCCATCCTTTCTCAGCGCCTGTCTCTGGGCCCTCAGCCACCTCTCTGCATCTGCCTCCAGCCTTTTAGGCCTTCATTCACTTCAGGGAGCCCTCTCTTCCTGCCTTAGTCCTCTTTTAGGGAGGGCCCATCTTCTTGTGCTTCAGTCCCCCATTCTATCAGGGCCTTGTGTTTTGGGGCTTCTGCATTCTCAGGGTTCCCCTCCCTGCACAGTGTCCTGCCTCGCTCCTTCACTCTGCTGCCTCTGTACTGTTCTCCTGGCAGCCCCCCTTCTCTCGCAGGACCTCCTACCTTCTCAGGCCCTTTCTCTCCTGTCTCCATCTCAAATTGGTGAGGTCTCACTTCTTGCCCTGCTTGGATTCTCATTTCTTGGCTGCCTTCCCAGCATCTTCCTGGGTGGGGAAGATGTCCTTTTGCTGTGGGGAAGCAAGAGCTGGTTGCAGGCAGTTTTTGAAAGAAGGGTGGAGCCAGACCCAAAAGGTGTATCTCTCAGGAGGTGCAGTAGGGCCAGTGCAGGCAAAGGGGCAGGACACAGAGGATCCCTGAGAGGCTGCCCTGCTACAACTGAAGCAGATCTGGCTTGCTCCTGCACAAGGCTCAAGCTAACAACTGGTGGGCGGGGTGTGGGGGGGCGGTGGGGGGTGAGAGGATTAGGTTTTGCAGCACAATAAAACTCAATCCAGGTAGATGATGATACCCCAGCTTCACAAAGGATCCCCAGCATCCTCTGAGGACACATTCACAGGCCCATCCCCAGCTATGCCCAGAAAAGGGTTGGGTGAGGACTGCTTCCTCCAACAGGCAGGAGCAGGGGATAGAGGATGGTGGTACCTGAGCCCCAGACCACTGCCCCACCGGGTCCTGGCACAATATGAGATGGGAGTCGTCCTTGCCCTGCAGGTACCCAGCAGACCCCAACTTCGCCCTGTTGTTGGATCCTTTCCTCTTTGTCACAAACCTGCAAAATCTGTCTCAGTTTCTTTTCCTGTATCTTCTTCACCTCCAAAGAGTAACTTTGATTTCAAGCGAGACATTTTGGCATTAAATGTTTAGAGAGTCCCCAAATAGGTTCTAGCACTGTGGAAATTAGTGTTCCTGCTATTTCTTTTCCAATATTTGTGTTTTTGTTTCTTTAAAGTGTAAGAGATCACAAGAGCAAAATTATTTCAGAGGATTTAAGTCCACTGAGCAAAGGCGGCAGTTCTGAGAAGCTGGAGAAGGGAGGATGGTGGTGTTTGGGGGACACTTTCACTCTCTGACAGCTTATTGTCTGTTATCAAAGCCACCTCTTAGGTAGGGGTGACAGCAGTGTTTTTTTAGGTGGAAAACGTCAGGGGTTTTTTGTGCAGCGTGGTGTGTTGCTGCTCTGAGCAGGCTGTTCTAGGCCTGTTATTAAGGGAGTACCTTTGTAAGAAGTGGGGTGTTCTGCCCATGCAGACGCCAGAGTTTGGGAGTCCAGCCAGAGCCCTTGGAGCTCCTGTCTGCATCCTCTCACATCTTGCTAGATAAAACATCTCCGAAAATGTGATTCTTTACATTTTGGTGTTAACAGTAAAATATGGCACACACACACACACACAGACACACGCTCAAAGACACACACATAATGATGGGCACTTACAGAAAGAGTAATGGTATGTGTTCCCCTTGTTATTGATTATTAGATCAACCAAATTCTGGCTGTCCCAGTCTTTATTCTTGGAGGAGGAAGAATGAGAGTCTTGACTTAGGTTGGCTTAGAGGAAATTCCAAGATGAGTAATGTAATAAGATCATAAGATGAACAATATGTTACATCATGGTGTAATAATAATTTTTTACTTTTTTCCCCACAAAAAAATAGCAATTTTGACAATCACCCTCAGATGAGAGAACCTTTGTGGAAGTCCAGGAACTTAGCCCAGAAATACCAGCACACTGTTGGATAAAAAAAAAAAAGTCCAAGATTGGATGCATTGAAGAGGGTAAGAGGAACAGTTTCACTTTACCTATGTCCTTCCTCCCTCATGGCAACATAGCTCATTGCCAAACAAGTTATTCTTATAACCTGTGACTCATGTTCCCACTGGGGAAAGTAAGACCATGGAAATGCAGTTCTGGTTTCCTCAGCTTTGGGAGACACTGCCAAAGAGATCCACTTCTCATCCCATTCAGATAACTGAGGTATATTGTGTGACTGAGGGTGGGAGTGTCTGGGCAGTCGCCGGTAGGGCTGCTGGAGGGCATCAGAGGGATGTGCTTCCTACTAATCGTACCGGGATTGGGTACATTGGGAGGCTGGCTGTTGAGCTACTGGGAATGCTGTCAAGTAGCCATGGGCACCCCCTTACTCTGTGCACCTTACCCACACATAACCCCATCCTGTGGATGGTTTTCCACATGGCTTCCAGTGAGAAGATGGCCAGTAAGCCCATGTGAAAAGATGGCCTGACTCTGCGGGCTGGAGAAAAATCACACATTGAGGGCGCCTGGGTGGCTCAGTGGGTTAAAGCCTCTGCCTTCGGCTCAGGTCATGATCCTGGGGTCCTGGGATTGAGTCCCGCATGGGGCTCTCTGATCAGTAGGGAGCCTGCTATCTCCCCTCTCTCGTTGCCTGCCTCTCTGCCTACTTGTGATCTCTGTCTGTCAAATAAATAAATAGATCTTTAAAAAGATCACACATTGAGCATTCAGTCCCACTCTAGGGACAGCAAAAAGGAGGCTATCAGCAACTAACCTGGCTTTGCAGGTTGGAGGGACGGCATACAGGTTTAAGAATTCTGCCGTAAGATGAAATAAGAAGTTTGGAGCAGGAATAAGCATAGAAAGGTCTGAGAAAGCGTCAGAATCACTAGCAGGGGGGACAGAAGGTAATTCTCTGCTGAGGCAAGTCAGAAAGACTGGAGGAAATAGCTGCTTCTTCATATACGAAGATAACAGCAGTCTTCAATATGAAAAATTAGTGTAACCCGACACCACCAAAGGAACACAATAATTTTCTCGAAACAGATCCCAAAGAAATGGAGCTCTGTGATTTGTCTTATAAAGAATTCAGAATAACTGTTTTAAGGAAGCACAGTAAACTATAAGAAAACACATAAAACGCAAAAAGACGATTCAGTGAATTCATGAAAACAATACACAAACAAAATGAGAAGTTTAACATAGAGATAGAAACCATCACAATGAAGCAAACAAATCTGGAGCTGAAGAATACAATGAATGAAATGACAAATGCAGGAAAGAGTATCAGTATTAGACTGGATCGATCAGAAGAACGAGTCTTTGACAGGACATTTAAAAATTATGCAGTGAGAACATAGGAAAATAATAAAAAGGGATAAAGAAAGCTCTGGCCTGTGGGATACCATTAAGAGAAACACTGTAGACATTATTGGAGTTCCAGAAGGAGAAGGGTGGAAAAAGGGTCAGAAAGCTTGGTTAGAGGAATAATGGCTGAGAAGTTCCTAAATCTGGGGAGAGATTTTAACTCCTAACTTCATTAAGTTAATAGTTCACCCTGATATTCCACCCAAAGTGATCTTCCTCAAGACGTATTATAATTAAGTTATTTAAAATCAAAGATAATGGAAAGAATTTTCAAAACAGCCAGAGGAAAAATAACCCTCACATACCAAAAAACTCTTGTAAGGCTATCAGTAGATTTCTTTGGAGAAACCTTGAAACCCAGGATCATGTACTCAAAATACTGAAAGAAAAAACTGTGAACCAAGAATACTTTACCTAGTAAAGTTGTCTTTGGGAAATAAAGGTGAGATAAAGACTTTTCCAACAAACAAAAACTGAGGTAATTCATTACCAGTAGACCTGCTTTATAAGAGATACTGAAAAGAATGCCATGAGATGAAACAAAAAGACACTAACTGATAACATGAAAACATTAGAAAATAGACAACACATTGGTAGATATGTTTAGTCAAACTCAGAATACTCTAGTACTACAATAGGTGATTAGCTACTTAACTCTAGTAAAGGTTAAAGGATACTAGTATTAAAAATAACTATAGCTGGGGTGCCTGGGTGGCTCAGTCTGTGTCTGCCTTAGGCTCAGGTCATGATCCCAGGGTCCTGGGATCAAGGCCCGCATGGGGCTCCCTGCTCATAGGGGAGCCTGCTTCTCCCTCTCCTACTCACTCTGCTTATATTCCCTTTCTCATTGTGTCTCTATCAAATAAATAAATAAAATCTTAAAAAATAACCATAGCTACAATAATTTCTTAACGGTTACACAATATAAAAAGATAAATTGTGACATCAAAAACAAAATATGAAAAGAGAATAAAAGAATAGAGTTTTTGTATGTGATTGAAGTTATCACCTTAAAGTAGCCTGTAATGTTTATATGATATTTTATGCAAATCTGATAGTAACCACAAAACAGAAGCCTACAGTAGATACAGAAGGACAAAGAGAAGGGAATTGAAGCATACCATTACAGAAAGTCATCCAGTCACAAAGGAAGACAGCAAGAGAGGAAGAGGGGAATAAGGAAACTACAAAATAGCCAGAAAATAATTAAGAAGACATTAATAAGTCCCTACCTATCAGTAATTACTTAAAATGTAAATAGCTTAAATTTTCCAATGAGAAGGCATAGAGAGGCTGAATAAGTAAACAAACAAATGAAAAACAAGACCCAACTATATCTTGCCTACAAGAGACTTAAATCAGCTTTAAGGACACAGAGACAATAAGGAGGGGATGGAAAAAAATATTCCACGCAAGTTGAAACCAAAAAACAGTAGGGTTAGCTATTCTTCATCAGATGAAATAGACTTTAACTCAATAGCTATAGCAAGAGATAAAGATCATGATAACATGATGATGTTATAATGCAGTGGAGACATTACAACTAATACTGTGGTAATACAAAGGACCATAAGTGACAATGAACAATTATATGCAAATTGGATAACCTAGAAGAAATGGATATGTTTTTAAAAACATACAGTTTACAAGACTGATTCATGAGGAAATAGAAAATCTGAACAGACCAATAACAAGTAAGGACACTGAATCAATAATCAAAAATCCCTAAGAAGGAAGAGTCCAGGACCTGATGGTTTCACTGGTGACTTTTACCAAACAGTTAAAGAATTAATGCCAAACCTTAACTCTTCCAAAATTGTAGGGAAGGAGCACTGTCAAATTCATTGTACAAGGCCAGAATTACCCTCATACAAATGCAAGGCAAGGACACTATAAGTAGAGAAAACTACAGGCTGCTATCTCTAATGAATATTGATGTAAAATCTCCGAACAAAATTCTACATTCTGTAGCACATCAAGAGGATCATAACCGTTATCAAGTGGGATTTATCCATGGGAGGCAAAAATGATTCAACATATGCCAATCAATAAACACGATACTCCAGATTAATAGAATGAAAGATACAAATCATATCATCATCTCAATAGATGCAGAAAAAGCATTTGACAAATTTCAACATCCTTTCATGACTAAAAGGACAGGAGTTGGATTGCAAAAGAGTATGAAAGAACTTTTGAGGGTGGTGGAAATGCTCTATATCTTGATTATGGTGGCAGTTATAATGACATGAAAGTCATTGAAAAACTGTACTTTTAAAGTGGATGCATTTTATTGTATTCAAATTGTAACACAGTAAAATTGATTCAAAAAAGAGAAAATTGCAAGAAGAACCAATCTCAACTGTGATCTTCTTGCCCCTGCCCCTGAAACATTTTCCATAAATAAAATAGTTGTGTATTAAACAACCTCATTATTTTTTTTTAAGATTTTATTTATTTATTTGACAGACAGAGATCACAAGTAGGCAGAGAGGCAGGCAGAGAGAGAGGAGGAAGCAGGCTCCCTGATGAGCAGAGAGCCCGATGTGGGGCTCGATCCCAGAACCCTGGGATCATGACCTGAGCCGAAGGCAGAGGCTTTAACCCACTGAGCCACCCAGGCACCCAATCTCATTATTTTTAAATTACTACAGAAGGATGAATAAATGTGGGTTGTAAAAAATGCAGCACAACTCAGTAGTAAAAGAAATGGATCATTGATGCATGCAACAACTAGGATGGACTTAAGAGCATCATGGTTAGTGAACAAAACCAATTTCAGAGGTTATACATGACGCAGTCTTATTTGTTGCCTTCAGAATGACTCCACTGTAGAGTTGGAGAAGAGGTTAATGGTTGCCAGAAGACACAGAGGAAGGTGGGAAGAAATGCGTGTGAAGAAAGGAGTTCCTGTATGGTAGTGGGACACTTCTCTTTCATGATTGTGGTCATGATCACATGATCATGATCTTGATCACATACCACATACTACATGGTCAGATCACATAGATCTACACGTATAACAAAAACACACAGTATATGTAAAACTGCTGAAAGCTGAAAATGTTTGTAGTCCTATCCTGTTAACATTATTATACCAATGTCAATTTCCTGGTTTTGCTATTATGCTACAGTTGTTAAAGATGTTACTACGGTAGGAAGCTGGGTTGGTTTCAAGGAACTGCATACATTATTTTTGCAGTTTCCCGTGAACTTGTAATAATTTCAAAATAAAAAATTAGATGCCTTCTCACAGCATGATCATGAATTAATACATAACTGGGAATTCTAAAGTCATATTTTCTTGAAATGGAAGCTTAACAGTTATTTTTCTTATAAATTTGATATAATATGTTAAAAGCAAATACATACTGAGTCAGAAAACCCAGGATAATTAAATTTCCATGAAATAATGGGTCATTTTTATATTAAATTATTTTTATTAAGCAATAAACTCTGAAATCAGTTCAAAAGTTCCTTGGTTGATCACTATATAATTTGTTTACACACTGAATATTTAAAAGGACTCAAGTATTTTAAAAAGGCAAAATAAACTTTACTGAAATATTCACAAGTCCTTATGAACTTAAATCCTTAAAACTAATATGTTACCTAGAAATATAGAGAAATTTTTTTCTTAATTTAAATTTAATTATACAATATATAGTATTTTATTAGTTTCATAGGTAGTGTTCAACAATCCATCAGTTGTGTATAACACCCAGTTATACACATCGCAACACATGCCCTCCTTAGTTTTCAATAACATTTTAATTACAGGGGACAGATAGGATCCTTTCTTATATACCCTAGGGAATGTATAATCCCTGATGGGAAATTAATATTTATTGTCACAATTAGGAGGTTATAAACAGAGACACCAGTTTCTTCCCTATAGAGCTTAGCATGATGGTAAGGTCCTAAAGGACATGGACCTGGATTTCTCATATATAAGCCTTAAGCACATGCCTTGAGCTCTATGACCCGGTGGCACAGGTATCAAGTGTGTAGTTGCCCTTCATATTTTCTTAGTAAGTTTATAGCAACAAGTTTGATCTACAACCAAGAATGACTCCTGGAATGCTCAGACTGTGAGATCTGTGATGTGATCTTTGGCCAATAAAGGAAGAAGATCACATAGAGGGTCAGCACAGTTCTTTCAATGGAGGGAGAGTAAGTTAATCACATTTCTATTTATCTCTTATTCTCTCTGCTCTTAAAAATGAGGAAAAATATTTATATTGTATAACAAGAACTCAATGTATGAAGCTCTGACTATACCACCTGCATTATTCTGAGCATACCCTTTCTGTGTTGGCTTCATCCTTCATCTGGCAGCAAGATAGCTATACCAGTACCAAGTGACACATGCAGAATATAACAAGATCAAAGGAAGAGATTTATCTCTTTCCTAAGATAAAGTTTTTAATTGAAATACACATAGAAAAAAAGGTTATGTGTTATAAGCATACAGCCTGATACATTCTCATAAACTTTATTTAATCAATGTCCACATTAATTATCTTTCTCTTTCATGCCCTCCTACAAAACCAAGGAAAATATATCCACCTTCCTTTGTTCATTCTCTGTCCAGCTAAGATGGACCAGAGAAGGGGAGTGTATAGAAATACCTGAGTATATGATGAATTATAAATCTTAGGCTACCAAGGTTCTCCTCAATACTTGTTATCCATTACTGACTTCATGGATTCTTGAAGTAAGTTATCTGAAAACATTGTAGACTGGTAGGGATTCTCTTCTATGAAACACCATTGTGGTATGGTCTCTGCCCAAGAGGAATCCTTGCTTTCGTGGTAATTATGACAGGGAACTAAGGTATTGGGTAGGGTAATAGGAACATGAGAGTAGGAATGAGGAAGTGAAGGATCAGATAGATGAGTGGGAGGGAGAGCTGGGGATAGCTCCCCACTACCGAAGCTCACCAACAGGTAGCCTTTATCCTCAGCTGCTCCATCCTTGTATCTTCTAGTAAAGACGGAGCAGTTGTTTGTCAAGTGCTGCTCATGCAACAAGACAGAGTGGTTTTAATGTTGAAGGGTGTGTGTGCTAGTCCACTCTGACCCTGTGGAGCAAAGGAGGACTTATTTGCTGGTCTGAGTCTTCTTCTCATAAATAAGAGTGTGTAAGGAGAGGGAGGAGAGCTGGGGTTTCTTTCTTTTCTTTTCTTTTCTTTTTTATTTATTTGACACAGAGATAGAGAGCACAAGTAGGCAGAGTGGTAAGCAGAAAGAGAGGGAGAAGAAGACTCTCTGCTGAGCAGGGAGCCGATGCGTGGCTTGACCCCAGGACCCCAGGACCATGACTCAAGCCAAAGGCAGCCACACAAATGACTGAGCCACCCAGGCGCCCCAGAGTTGGGGTTTCTATTAACAGGACTTTCTTCTGTCCTCACAGATTTCCAAAGAGGACAATATTGGTTAGAAATGACTCCTCAGTGACTGAATTTCTTCTTGCTGGATTAACAGACCGCCCAGAGCTCCAGCAACCCCTCTTTTTCCTGTTTCTGATGATCTACATTGTCACTGTAGTGGGCAACCTTGGCTTGATCATTCTCATCGGTCTCAACTCTCACCTCCACACCCCCATGTACTACTTCCTCTTCAACCTATCCTTCATTGATCTCTGTTACTCTTCTGTTTTCACCCCCAAGATGCTGATGAACTTTGTATCAAGGGAGAACATCATCTCCTATGTCGGGTGCATGGCACAGCTGTTTTTCTTTCTCTTTTTTGTCATCTCAGAATGCTACATGTTGACCTCAATGGCCTATGACCGCTATGTGGCCATCTGTCATCCATTGCTGTATAGGGTCACCATGTCCCATCAGGTCTGTTGCTTGCTAACTGTTGCTGCATACATGATGGGATTTGCTGGAGCCTCTGCCCACACAGGCTGCATGCTTAGACTGACCTTCTGCCATGTCAATATCATCAACCATTACCTGTGTGACATTCTTCCTCTTCTCCAACTCTCTTGCACTAGCACCTATGTCAATGAGGTGGTAGTTTTGATAGTCGTGGGAATTAATATCACAGTACCCAGTTTTACCATCCTGATTTCTTATGTCTTTATCCTCACTAGCATTCTTCATATCAGATCTGCTCAAGGACGATCAAAAGCCTTCAGTACTTGCAGCTCTCACATCATTGCTCTTTCTCTTTTTTTTTGGGTCAGCAGCATTCATGTATCTTAAATATTCTTCTCCTGGATCTATGGAGCAGGGAAAAGTTTCTTCAATTTTCTATACTAATGTAGGGTCCATGCTCAACCCCTTGATCTACAGTTTGAGGAATAAGGATGTCAAAATAGCACTGAAGAAAGCCCTGATTAAAATCTGGAGGAGAAACACGTTCTAATTAGAAGCAGCAACAATATAAAGAAGCCCAGGTTTTTATTTTATAATTATTGGTGTTTTTCAAGATGAGACTATGTGCATAGCCATGTTGCTTCTATAGATTGTGTTATGTGTTGTTTAATAGACTTGCTTATCTTTTTCCTGATAGCTAATCTTGTCTTATTTTTCCTTCTGTATCTCCATCATGTGTGCAAGTTTACACAAATAACTAATACATTTTATAAATAGAAACTATGTACTGACATTTCAAATAACTTTTATGCTACTTTTGTTTCTGGGCTACTTCTAATATGGACAAATGTGGTTAGTTTTTTCATTTACATAAAGTTAAAATTAGAGCTCACTGATCTAGACACAAATAGTTTTTAACTATTATTTTTAATAATAACTGATATAGGCAGTAGCACTCGAAGAAATGCATTTCAAATTGTATATAAGGATTAAAGTAGGATCAAATCCCCCTAATATTGTCCTTTTGTTCTAATTTTCTTATCACTTTCTATGTTATTATTCTGACTTTCCTTTTTCCCTCCAGTAATTGCAAAATCTATACCAGGTACTTATGGCTTCTGAGATTGTCTATCAATCCACTGTACTTAATATCTAAGAGAATACACAGATTCCACTGTTCATTGCCAGTCATTGTAAGAAGGAATGATTAGAGAAATAATACATACGTATCTCAGGATCCCAGTAAGGGGTGAGTGGTTTATTGCATTATAAAACTTGCATTCTTTACCCTCCAAAATGATACCAAATATTTGGAAAAGAGCATATAGTTCTTATTGTAAAATTTGAAATTTATCACTTTAAGGAAAATACTGCACATGGTATCAGGAGAAACATTGTAGCCATTATTTTACTTACTCAGTGAAGTTTCCAATGAAAAATGGTGTGTATTAATAGTAATAAATTATATTCCTAGCAACATTTTGTGAATATACTTAAACCTTGCCCCACCAATAAGGTAATAAAGGTATTTAACTAGATGCTTTTTCCTATAGATTTCCTATCTCTCCAGTGCTTTTCACATTTGTGTATTTAGAATATCAAACATAGTGGGAGGTCAAGAAATACTTGTTGAATTGCATTCTTCAGATAACAACAATAATAAATTTAATGTTACAATAATTAGTAAAATATAATAATAGATAATAATAAATAATAAGTCAGAAAGAACTTTGGGGTATAACTTGTTTCTGGGATTGGACCATAGCAGTCATAGAAAGGTTCTGCTTAGCTCCTTTTCGAGAGAACTGGCTTTGGGAAGCATTGTTGACTGATAGTCTCTAGCTTATACTCCTGTGGATTCACTGTTGTGTTCAGGCAGAGTCCATGCTCGCTCTGAGATGTTCCCAGCCAGGGGCTTAGAATGATGGGTCATAGAGGAGCTGGCCAATAGCTGTGTAACACAGGTGTCTTCTGATAGGCAATCTTCCTTAGGTACTTCCTGTCATCCTAACAGACTTTGTAGGACTGCACTGTAGTCTGAGATTTTCCTACCATATCCTTCTCTTCTTTCTTAGGTGTCAGAGTTTCAGCCCAGTCTAAAGGCCTTTATCACTGACTCCCTCTCCCTCCCATTTTATCCTTCACAGTTTTTTACCACAATAAATGTCTTGCAGGTCTAATTATTTCTTGGCATTTGCTTCTTGATGACACAGAAGACTTACATAACTGATTTTAACATTTAGATTTAGGTTCTGATCATAAAGACAGATTGGTTTTGTTAGAAAACAGACCCAGGGCAGAGAATAGAATATTTGGAAACAGATTTTTCATTATTTAATCAATTAATTTTTTACCGTGTAACTAAGCAAATCTGTAGGCAAAGGAAAATCTTCTAAGCAATTGATTTTGTAAATAGTAGCTATTCATGAGGAAAGGAATGAACTTTGACATTAACATTAAATTTGTCAATGAAAGAAGAGAACTCTTTCATTATTTAAATATGAATTTAGTAGAGAAAGTCAATTATCATTATGGTTTCACTTACTTGTGGAACATATGGAATAAGATGGAAGACATTAGGAAAAGCAAAGGAAAAGTGAAAGGGGGGAAATCAGAGGGGGAGATGAACCATGAGACACTGTGAACTCCAAGAAACAAACTGAGGATTTTAGAGGGGAGGGGTGTGGGGGGCATGGGTGAGCCTGGTGGTGGGTATTAAGGAGGGCAGGGATTCATGGAGCACTGGGTGCATAAGCAATGAATCTTGGAACACTGCATCAAAAACCAATGATATATTTTATGGTGTTTAAGATAAAACAATAAAAAAAAGAAAAAAAATATGATTTCAGTTGCAAAGTTTTAAATGGTTGTAAAAATGGTGTAAAACTATCACTTATGTAAATAATTTCTCTTAAAATTTCTCAAAGATTGTAAAAGAAATTGGAAGTATAGTAGTTAAAAATTCTTGATCAGGAGTTACAAATAACTATTTCAAGTACAAAACCCGTTATAAAGAAATTATGTTCTGGAAGCAAGAACAAATTTTCATTAAGAATTATGGATCTATATATATTTTTATCATTTTTTAAAATTTATTTTCAGCATAACAGTATTCATTGTTTTTGTACCACACCCAGTGCTCCATGCAATCCATGCACCCTCTAATACCCACCACCTGGTTCCCCCAACCTCCCACCCTCCCACCTCTTCAAACCCTTCAGATTGTTTTTCAGAGTCCATAGTCTCTCATTGTTCACCTCCCCTTCCAATTTCCCCCAAATGCCTTCTCCTAACTCCCCATGTCCTCCATGCTATTTGTTATGCTCCACAAATAAGTGAAACCATATGATAATTGACTCTCTCTGCTTGACTTATTTCACTCAGCATCATCTCTTCCAGTCCCATCCATGTTGCTACAAAAGTTGGGTGTTCCTCCTTTCTGATGGAGGCATAATACTCCATCGTGTATATGGACCACATCTTCCTTATCCATTCGTCCATTGAAGGGCGTCTTGGTTCTTTCCACAGTTTGGCAACCGTGGCCATTGCTGCTATAAACATTGGGGTACAGATGGCCCTTCTTTTCACTACATCTGTATCTTTGGGGTAAATACCCAGTAGTGCAATTGCAGGGTCATAGGGAAGTTCTATTTTTAATTTCTTAAGGAATCTCCACACTGTTTTGCAAAGTGGCTGCACCAACTTGCATTCCCACCAACAGTGTAAGAGGGTTCCCCTTTCTCCACATCCCCTCCAACACATGTTGTTTCCTGTCTTGCTAATTTTGGCCATTGAAGAAGACACAAAAAGATGGAAGACCATTCCATGCTCTTGGATCGGAAGAATAAACATTGTTAAAATGTCTATACTGCCTAGAGCAGTCTATACTTTTAATGCCATTCCAATCAAAATTCCACCAGTATTCTTCAAAGAGCTGGAGCAAATAATCCTAAAATTTGTATGGAACCAGAAGAGACCCCGAATCGCTAAGGAAATGTTGAAAAACAAAAATAAAACTGGGGGCATCACGTTACCTGATTTCAAGCTTTAGTACAAAGCTGTGATCACCAAGACAGCATGGTACTGGCATAAAAACAGACACATAGACCAGTGGAACAGAGTAGAGAGCCCAGATATGGACCCTCAACTCTATGGTCAGTTAATCTTCGACAAAACAGGAAAAAATATACAGTGGAAAAAAAGACAGTCTCTTCAATAAATGGTGCTGGAAAAACTGGGTAGCTATATATAGAAGAATGAAACTCGACCATTCTTTTACACCGTACACAAAGATAAACTCAAAATGGATAAAAGACCTCAACATGAGACAGGAATCCATCAGAATCCTAGAGGAGAACATAGGCAGTAATCTCTTTGATATCAGCCACAGCAACTTCTTTCAAGATATGTCTCCAAAGGCAAAGGAAACAAAAGCCAAAATAAACTTTTGGGACCTCATGAAAATCAAAAGCTTCTGCACAGCAAAGGAAACAGTCAAGAAAACAAAGAAGCAACCCACGGAATGGGAGAAGATATTTGTAAATGACAGTACAGACAAAAGATTGATATCCAGGATCTATAAAGAACTCCTCAAACTCAACACACACAAAACAGACAATCAGGTAAAAAAATGGGCAGAAGATATGAACAGACACTTCTCCAATGAAGACATACAAATGGCTATCAGACACATGAAGAAATGTTCATCATCACTAGCCATCAGGGAGATTCAAATTAAAACCACATTGAGATATCACCTTACACCAGTTAGAATGGCCAAGAATTATGGATATATTTGAGAATATTATATAATAAAAAATATGTTTCCTTAAAGATGGATATTTTGACTTTTGAATAATCTGCATTAATATGTAGTGAATATGCTACCTTTTTCAGTTTTATCATCAAATATAACAGAATCCTGAACAGTTCATAAACATACATATATAGTTTAATAAATAATGCAAAAAGCTATGTAATTGCAAATTAAATCATAAAAGAGAATATCGTAGAGAATTTTATGCATTGTTTTTAGTTGTTTTCAATTAGTGATTAAATCCCAATAATCTAGCCCAAGAATACCAGAAAACAAAGTTGTTAAATTATTTTATTTAGTCAGCTTTGTTTTCGGATTTGATTAAGTGGTCAGGGGCATTCATTGTATAGTGATAGTGACTATATCATATAGTAACAGCTATTATGCCTTCAAATATTTTTCTGTCTCCTCTTCACCCTCTCTGAGCCTCCAGTTAGACATCTATTGGGCTGTTCGATGTCTTATGGCTCACTGATGCTCTATCCATTTTTTTCTAGTCGTCTTCTTTTTGTATTTCATTTTGGGTAGTTTCTATTGCTGTTCAAGTTCACACATCATTTCTTCTGCAGTATCTGATCTAGTTTTAACCCCATGCAGTATATATATATTTTTACATAAACTCTTTATTTTATATTTATAGAAAAATTACAAAGCTAGTACAGTTACAATGTATTCAATATCCAGTTCCTGCTATTATTTTACATTAGTCACAGTTAATGAACCAGTATTGATACATTCTTAGTTAAAGCACATACTTGATTCATATTTTCTTAATTTTCATCTAATGTCCTTTTTCATCTAATGTCCTTTTTCTATCATAGGATCCCACTTAGGATACCACGTTGCCCTGAGTAGTCATGTCTCACTAGGCTCCTCTTGCCTGCCATAGTTTCTCAGACTTCCCATGTTTTGGATTATCTTGACAGTTTAAAACGTATTCATCAGGTATTTTGTAGAATATCCCTAAATTGGGTTTTCTGATGTTTTCCTCATGATTTTTTGTTATTATGTATTTTTGGATTTGGCATACTTTTCATTTCATACATTGTATTTTTTAGGTCAAGGAGGTCAATTTCAGTATTTTCATATCTGTGTCTTTCCTTAGCATGTCATTTTTTTTTAAATCTTGTAGAACTTATAGAATATATTAGTAATAGCTCTTTTTTTGTTTTTATATACTAGTTTTATTTATTTTTTAAATTTCTAATTTAATTTCATTTTTAAATTTAATTTTATTTTTAATTTAATTTTATTTTTAAATTAAATAAATTAATTTATTTTTTCGGTTCCAAGATTCATTGCTTATGCACCACACCCAGTGCTCCATGCAATACGTACCCTCCTTAATACCCACCCCAGGCTCACCCAACTTCCCCCCCACCCCCCACAACCTTCAGTTTGTTTCTCAGAGTCCAGTCTCTCATGGTTCATCTCTTCCTTTGATTTCCCCCAACTCACTTCTCTTTTCCTTCTCCCAGTGTCTTCCGTGTTAATCTTTATGCTTCACAAGTAAGTGACACCATATGATAATTGATTCTCTCCACTTGACTTATTTAAAAGATTTTATTTATTTATTTGTGAGAGAGAGAGAGAGAGAGCATGAGAAAGTGAAAGAGAGCATGAGCAGTAGGGAGGGGCAGAGGGAGAAGGAAAAGCAGACTCCCCACTGAGGAGGGAGCTCAATGCTGAGCTTGATCCTGGGACCCCATGATCATGAACTAGGGCAAAGGCAGATGTTTAACTTACTGAGCCATCCAGGCACCCCTCTTATATACTAATTTTAAAATATGTGTTATTTCCTAGTATGTTTCTACAAGTTGAGTTTTTTTCATATTATACATGAAATTTTCCTACTTCTTTGCCTCCCTGGTTTTAAGCTAGTTTTGAATTGGGTTTTCTATAATTTTAACCATGAAATTTGCTATACTTTTAAACTGAAATTATTCATTTGCAAATATTACATACGAAAAAAATTGATATTAAATGTTGGTCATCACTATTGGTGATAAAAACAGAAACACATAGCTTAAATGATAGAGGTGAATTTTGTATTATTGTTTCTCTGGGATTTCTTTGTGTGTTTATGCCAACTTCAGTTAATTTCCCCTAGGCTTGAGAAGTGGAGTCAATATAAATCAAGATATCTAACACCCAACTCTTATCCTTTGTAAAATTACTGACCCATCTGGCTCAGTATTATGTCTCTGAGGGTTCCATGGAAAAATGTGGATGGACCTACTCATACTAATATTAGTGATTAGAGACATGTAACAAAAAACACACAGTAGGGGCATCTGGGTGGCTCAGTCAGTTAGGCATCCAACTCTTGATTTCAACTCAGATTATGATATCGGGGTTGTGAGATTGAGCCCCGCATTGGGCTTTGGACTCAGAAGTCTGCTTGAGATTCTCTCTCTCCCTTTCCCTCCCACACATGCATGTGCTCTCTTGCTCTCTCTCTCTAAAATAAATAAATCTTTAAACACACACACACACACATACACACACACACTAGTTTTCTCTAAATACTGATAGATCTGATGAACAATATATTATTTAAAATATTGAGCTATATTCATTTTTACACAAATACGTTTTACTTACAAAGTTTTATAAAAATGTCTCAACTTTTGTTTAGTAAGGTCTAACTTATATATAGTAAAATATACAAATATGCTGTATACACCTTGGTGACTTTTTGGCCTAAGTATAAGCTCAGTTTAATCACCGCCCAGAAAAAGATATGGACCATATCCATGAGCTCAGAAATTTCTCATGTCTCTTTCTGGCCAACAGCAACCCACATCTACCACTTGAGGGAAACATTGCTCTGAGTTCTATCACTTTAGAATAGTTTTGCCTGTTTTTAAAAATCTTATAAATAAAATCATACTGTTTGTGCTTTTTTGTGTCTGTCTTCTTTCTTTGACATAAACATTTTTATATTTTAACCATATCAGTGCATATATCAGAAAATTACTTCTATCCCATTGAATGTATTTTATCCAATTTACTCATCTATTCTCTTATTGATGGAAATTTGGGTATTATAAATAAAACTTCAATAAGTATTTTTGCATAATTTCTTTTGGATATACCCTAATTTCTCTAGATATATAGTTAACAGTGGAATGTCTGGATCCAAGGCTACATGTATGTGTATCTATTAGAAAGCTCGAATTTGGGGCACCTGGGTGGTTCAGTGGCTTAAGCATCTGCCTTCTGCTTAGGTCATTATCCCAGGGTCCTAGGATCAAGCCCCACATCAGGCTCTCTGCTTAGCAGGGAGTTTGCTTTCCTCCCCCTGTCCGCCTGTCTCTCTGCCTACTTGTGATCTCTATCTGTCAAATAAATAAAATCTTTAAGAAAAAAAGAAAAAGAAAGAAAACACCAATTTGTTTTCCAAAGTACTTGTGCAATTTTACTGTGTACACTGTACTTTGTACAGTATACAAAAGTTCTAGCTGTTCCACATCCACAGTACATTTGGTATTTTAGCTGTTCTGTTGTGCATACATTGGTATCTCATAAGAATTTGAATTTGCATTTCCTTAGGTCAAAGGATGCTGAAATAAAGTCTTTCAGATTTATTCATATTTGAGCCTCTATTGCTTCTTGGAATGACAACTTTAAAAAGTTTGCTAAAAAAAATGAATACCCAACTTTTGTAGCAACATGGACGGGACTGGAAGAGATTATGCTGAGTGAAATAAGTCAAGCAGAGAGAGTCAATTATCATATGGTTTCACTCATTTGTGGAGCATAGCAAATAGCATGGAGGACAAGGGGAGAGGGAGAGAAGGGAGTTGAGGGAAATTGGAAGGGGAGGTGAACCATGAAAGACTATGGACTCTGAAAAACAATCTGAGGGTTTTGAAGAGGTGGGGGGTGGGAGGTTGGGGGAACCAGGTGATGGGTACTAGAGAGGGCACGGATTGCATGGAGCACTGGGTGTGATGCAAAAACAATGAATACTGTTACGCTGAAAAGAAAAAAAAAATCTTAAAAAAAAGAAAAATCAATACTGAAATTTCCAACTATTACTGTAAAAAAATAATAAATAAATAAGTAAAAAGTGTGCTAATTGGACAGATTAAAATAAAAATAAAGCTGTCTTTGTACTCAGATGACATGATTGATTATCTCCATAAATTCCTCAAAACTGATAACAAGAACAACTACAAAAACAGACAAACTAAACCCCGAATTAGTAAGTGACTAAAAGCAAGTCACGGGACACAAAGTTAATACAAAAGTTAATTTCTTTACTATATATCAACAATTGGGTAATTGGAACTTGAAATGGAAAACACAGTACTGTTCATACTGCACCTCTATCACCATCCCTAGTAAAGAAGAAATACCTAGTTATAAACTTAACAAAATATGTGTCAGATCTAGATGTAGAAAACTACAAAACTTTAATAAAAGTAATCATAAAAGATCCAAATCAATGGAAAGATATTCTATGTTAATGGATTGGAAGATTCAATAACATTAAGATATCAATTCTTAACTTCATCTATGGAATCAATGTGATGCCCATCCAAATCCCAGTAAATTTTTGTGGATAGGAACAAACTGATTCTAAATTTATATGGAAAAGCAGAAGAGCCATAATATAAAATACAATACTGAAGGGGAAAAAAAAAAAAGTTGTAGGACAGACATTGTCCAACTTCAAGATCACTGCAAAGCTATAGTAATCAAGACAGTGTGATGAAAGAAAAGACACATAGAACAATGGATCAGAATAGAGAGCCCAGGAATAAACTTACAAAATGTAGACAACTAACTGGTCATTGACAAAGGAACAAAGGCAGTTCAAATTGAGAAATAGTAATCTTTTTAACAAACAGTGCTGGAAAAATCATTTTTTATGTCTAAAGATATTTAGACATAAACCTTATACTTTCAAGCACACAAGCCTCAAAATAGATCACAGACCTATTGTAAACTCAAAATTCAAAGTGTAAACTACAGGTCTCTTCTGATTCCATAATACTCCAAAAACTTCTAAAGGAACTCATTATAGAGAATTTAGGTGAATTTGGGTTTGAATTTGAGTTTTTAGATACAACACCAAAACATGATATGAAAAAAATTGATAAGTCAAATTTTATTAAAATTAAAAACTTCTCTGTGAACAACATTAAGAAAAGTCAAGCCACAGAATGGGAAAAAATATTGGCAAACACATACCTGATCAAGTTCTTGTGTCCACAATATACAAAGAGTTCTAAAACTCAACAATGAGAATACAAACAACTCATAGAAGGAGGCAAAGATCTGAACAAACACCTAACCAAAAAAGATATGCAGATGGAAAATAAACATTTGAAAATTTGCATGACATTATTTGTTTTTAGGGAATTTTTAATTCAAATAACAATGGGATACCACTGCAAATCTTTTTTTTTTTTTTTAAATTTAATTCTTTTCTGCTTAACAGAATTCATTGTTCATGCACCACACCCAGTGCTCCATGCAATATGTGCCCTCCATAGTACCTACCACCTGGCTCCCCCAACCTCCCACCTTCCACCCCTTCAAAACCCTCAGATTGTTTTTCAGAGTCCATAGTCTCTCATGGTTCATCTCCCCCTCCAACTTCCCTCAACTCCCTTCTCCTCTCCATCTCTCTATGTCCTCCATGTTATTTGTTAAGCTCCACAAATAAGTGAAACCATATGATAATTGACTCTCTCTGCTTCACTTATTTCACTCAGCGTAATCTCTTCCAGTCCCATCCTTGTTGCTACAAAAGTTGGGTATTCATCCTTTCTGATGGAGGCATAATACTCCATAGTGTATATGGACCACATCTTCCTTATCCATTCGTCCGTTGAAGGGCATCTTGGTTCTTTCCAGAGTTTGGCGACCATGGCCATTGCTGCTATAAACGTTGGGGTACAGATGGCCCTTCTTTTCATGACATCTGTATCTTTGGGGTAAATACCCAGTAGTGCAATTGCAGGGTCATAGGGAAGCTCTATTTTTAATTTCTTAAGGAATCTCCACACTGTTCTCCAAAGTGGCTGCACCAAGTTGCATTCCCACCAACAGTGTAAGAGGGTTCCCCTTTCTCCACATCCTCTTCAACACACGTTGTTTCCTGTCTTGCTAATTTTGGCCATTCTAACTGGTGTAAGGTGGTATCTCAATGTGGTTTTGATTTGAATCTCCCTGATGGCTAGTGATGATAAACATTTTTTCATGTGTCTGATAGCCATTTGTATGTCTTCATTGGAGAAGTGTCTGTTCATGTCTTCTGCCCATTTTTTTACATGATTGTCTGTTTTGTGAGTGTTGAGTTTGAGGAGTTCTTTATAGATCCTGGATATCAGCCTTTTGTCTGTACTGTCATTTGCAAATATCTTCTCCCATTGGGTTGCCTCTTTGTTTTGTTGACTGTTTTCTTTGCTGTGCAGAAGCTTTTGATTTTGATGAAGTCCCCAAAGTTCATTTTCGCTTTTGTTTCCTTTGCCTTTGGAGACATATCATGAAAG